AATCAATCTGGCAAGTTTTACCACTCTTTTGAATCTAAAACCAAAATTTCGATGGCTTTTTTAAATTCTGATATAACTTACAATCCTCCTCTGTGCTGATGAATACTCACACAAATCTTTTATTGCCCCACTGAAGCTTAACTGTCTTCCGTCCTTTTTATCGTAAAAACAATAGTGCATGCCCCCACCCGGGGCATAGGTGAGCTCACTGCTGTAATCCATAACATTTGGAGGCTGAGGCGGTGGATCACTTGAGCAAGGACGTTTCACAGACAAGCGCTGGCCAGACTGGGAAACCCCCTGTCCTAACTAAAAAATAACAAAATTACCGGGTGTGGTGGTGCACGCTGTAGTCCCCAGCTTATCAGGAGCGTGAGCCAGGAAATCGCTTGAAACCGTGGAGGTGGAGGTTGCAGTGAGCTGAAGTCATGCCCTGCTACTTCAGCCTGAATGACAAAGTTGAGACTCTGTTCTCAAAAAAAAAAAGAAAATGAGGCTGTGCTCAAAAATAAGAAAAAAAAAAGAATAAATAAAAATAATAAAAAATAGTTACCTTAAGTGTAAAAGTGCATGATATTGTATAGGCATTTTAAAATGTGCACCAGTAACTCTCTCCCCTGTACCCTCCAGTGTTCTTCCATTGCAATCTGCATTGATCAGCGGTCAGGAAAACTGTCAGCCAATGGGGGAGTGGTGTGGGTGTGGTATGGTGTAGTGGTATCTGTCTGTCTTGTCCTCGTTCTGTGGTCCTCTCTGCGCCCCTCCCCCCCCGCCCAAGTGTGTTTTAGAGTTCTTATAAAATTATAATTTTCCTCTTCCTTCAAAAAATGGTAGGATCTTGTTCCATGGGGTCCAGTTGCCCGGAGGTTCCAGTTGCCCGGAGCTTAAATAACCCTTGTTTGGCAGCATGGCTGGGCTCCTACTTGACCGCTTTTATTCATGCTACTTGTCAGTCTCCCTCAGGGTTCCTTAGGCTGTCCTCGAGTACCTCTGCTCTGGGGCAGTGAGGAAGAAGACTGGGAAGAGACCCAGCTTTCATTCCCAGGTAGCATCCTTGCATATGAAATATGAACTAGTCTCTCACCATCATGGTGAGGTGGAAAATTTCTTGCATGTTCTCACTGAGGAGTCGGCTAGATTCTGTCTGCCTTCTCCCCTGATTGAACTTCCAAGCCTCTGGAGGCAGGGGGCCAAATGCCTGGTCTTGGCCTCCCTGTCCCTCTGGGCAGACAGTTCTAAGTTCTTGTGGTTTTCCTCTTGGGAGTTTCTCACTACTTTCCCTTTTTTCTCCCCCTCTTCTTAGCCTTGCATCATCAAGATTAAAAACTTTTTTGATGCAGAAGATTATTATATTGTTTTGGAATTGTAAGTAGTAAACTTTTTACAACTTTCTGTTCCCATTCAAATGCTTATAAAGCCACCAAAGAATCTAATGTAGGCTTACCTTTCTCATCCTGGGGGACCTCAATGTATGTACGTAGTAGTGGGGCTCACAGAGTCTGTGTGTAGGGAGTTAATGTCAACCCTAAAAACCCTCCAATGTTTCCAAAGATAGGTGGTTGGGACTCCAGGTCCTGGATCTGTGACCTGGGCTTGAACTCCACTCTGCAGTTGACTAGCTGACCACCCATGGGTGAGTTTATGTCGCCTCTCTGAGTCTCGTCTTCCTAGTGTTAAATGGGGATTATAATGAGCCCCCACATGCAGAGTCCTTGTATGAATTAGATGCTTTGAGGGATGGAAATCCCCCAGCAGAGCACCTGGCACATGTGTGTACTCACCATGGGGCAATATTGTTATAATTGGCTCACCATAACTGTGGGTTTCCACATCCGTGTATTCAACCAACCTCAGATCGAAAATACTTAGGAAAATAAAAATGGATGGTTGTATCTGTACCAAACATGAACAGACATTTTTCTTGTTATTTTCTAAACAGTACTGTAGAACCACTATTTACATAACATTTACATTGTATTAGGTTTCGTAAGTAGTTTAGAGATTATTTAAAGTATCCAGGGCCGGGCACGGTGGCTCATGCCTGTAATCTCAGCACTTTGGGAGGCCGAGGTGGGTGGATCACCTGAGGTCAGGAGTTCGAGACCAGCCTGGCCAACATGGTGAAACCCGGTCTCTACTAAAAATACAAAAATTAGCTGGGCATAGTGTCACACACCTGTTATCTCCGCTACTCAGGAGGCTGAAGCAGGAGAATCGCTTGAACCCGGGAGGCAGAGGTTGCAGTGAGCTGAGATTGTGCCACTGCATTCCAGCCTGGGCCACAGAGTAAGACTCCATCTAAAAAAAACAAAAAAAAAAAACCACATACACACACACACACACAATTAGCCAGGCATGGTGACACGTGCCTGCAATTCCAGTTACTTAGGAGGCTGAGGTGGGAGTATCACCTGAGCTTGGGAATTCGAGGCTGTAATGAGCTGAGATTGTGCCACTGCACTCCAGCTTGGGCAATGGGAGTGAGACTCTGCCTCAAAAAAAAAAAAAAAAAAAAGTAGATGGGATGATATACATAGATTATATGCAAATCTTATGCCATGTTATATAAAGGGCTTGAGCATCATGAATTTTGGTATCTGAGAGGGCTCCTGGAACCAATTCCCCCTAGATACTGAGGGACGACTCTACTCTGAAATATCTACCTGGGTAGGCCTTTCTACGCAGGTCCTTTCAACCCAGGACCAGGTTGCATGGTGGCTCCTGAGTATCTCTCAGTGTTTTGGTAGTTTATTTCAGTGGCGATAATGTCTTGTGTTATTTGGTGTAATCAGAATAACTTCCTGTCTCATTTCTGGAAGATAGCTGTCTTGATATCTGCTCCTGCATAAATATTAAGTGTTTCTAGGAGCAGCTATTGTGGCAGGCACAGAATGCTTTGCTCCTAGTTGGCAAATGGTATCTATGCAGGGTGATCATTAAGACATATAGAAAACAGGTTGGGTGTGGTGGCTCACACCTGGAATCCCAGCACTTTGGGAGGCTGAGGTGGGCGGATCCCTTGAGGCCAGGAGTTGAAGACCAGCCTGGCCAACATGGCAAAACCCCCTCTCTAATAAAAATACAAAAATTAGCCAGGCATGGTGGCACATGCCTGTAGTCCCAGCTCCTCGGGTGGCTGAGGCATGGAGAATCACTTGAACCTGGGAGGCAGAGGTTGTAGTGAGCTGTGATGGACAGAGCAAGACTGTCTCAAAAAACATATGAAAAAAGACTATATGGTAAACAACACCCCTGGTCACAGCACTAGGAGAGCCTGCAGCCCCTTGTGGATCTTAAAGGAATATCTACTGCTATCAAATAGGAGATTGTTACCTGACTGAATCTAGTTAACACAGTTTAATAAAAGTGATAAGACAGGGCTGGGTGCAGTGGTTCACGCCTGTAATCCCAGCACTTTGAAAGGGCTGAGGTGGGCAGATCACCTGAGGTCAGAAGTTCGAGACCAGCCTGACCAACATGGAGAAACCCTGGCTCTACTAAAAATACAAAATTACCCAGGCATAGTGGGGAATGCCTGTAATCCTAGATACTCAGGAGGCTGAGGCAGGAGAATCGCTTGAACCCGGGAGGTGGAGGTTGCGATGACCAAGATCGTGCCATTACACTCCAGCCTGGGCAACAAGAGTGAAACTCCATCTAAAAATAAATAAATAAATAAATAAATAAAAGAATAACCTTGCCAAGCACCAGTGCCAGGAGCTTTTCCTACATCAGTTATGTCTTAATTTTTATAACAACCATCAAGGTAGATGGTATCATCCCCATTTTTTAAGTGGTAGAAACAAACTCAGACAGGTTAAATAGCTTGCCCAAAGTCCAAAATCTGGGAAATGGTAGAGTTGGGGTTCAGGTCCTGGTTGTCTGTTTGTAAATTTCTGTTTGCTCTTGTACATCAGTCTCAGAATCATCTGTGGTGTGTGATAAAAATGCAAACTCCTGACTGGGTGCAGTGGCTTATACCTGTAATCCCAGCACTTTTGGGAGGGCAAAGTGGGCAGATCACTTGAGGCCAGGAGTTTGAGACCAACCTGGCAAAACCTTGTCTCTCTACTAAAAAAAATAACAAAAATTAGCTGGGCTTGGTGGCGCATACCTATAATCCCAGCTACTTGGGAGGCTAAGGCATGAGAATCACTTGAACTGGAAAGTGGAGGTTGCAGTGAGCCAAGATTGCACCACTGCGCTCCAGCCTGGGTGACAGAGCAAATGTCTCAAAAAAACCCAAAAAACCAAAAGCAACTCCTGGGCCCCACTTCCAAGCTACTGAATCGGATTTTTTAAAGTTCCCCAAGTGCCTCCAATGCCCACTTCTTTCATCTCGTTCCTTAGTTTCCAACTGGGACATCTCATTGTGAATAAGGCTTATTACCTCATTAGTTTTAAAAATGGGAGTCAAAAGTGAATAAAAATGTCAACTGTTTGCTTGTCTTAATGAATTTGTTTTGTTTGTTTTATTATCTTCTGTCCAAGTGCGTTTCCCCCCAGGGAATGAATCCCTTTCCTTGCCTTTGTGTTTCAGGATGGAAGGGGGAGAGCTGTTTGACAAAGTGGTGGGGAATAAACGCCTGAAAGAAGCTACCTGCAAGCTCTATTTTTACCAGATGCTCTTGGCTGTACAGGTAAGAGAAGCCCTCAATTATTTTGACAGATTACTTTCTTTTAGTTGAATTACTCCCTGAATTAGGCAGAAATTGAGGGACCATCGATTAAAACTCAGAAGAGAGGCCGGGCTTGGTGGCTCAAGCCTGTAATCCCAGCACTTCGGGAGTCCAAGATGGGCGGATCACGAGGTCAGGAGATCGAGACCATCCTGGCTAACATGGTGAAACCCCGTCTCTAATAAAAAAAAAATACAAAAAACTAGCCGGGCGTGGTGGCCGGCGCCTGTAGTCCCAGCTACTCGGGAGGCTGAGGCAGGAGAATGGCGTGAACCTGGGAGGGTCAGGTGTTGGTGGCCTGTGGTCCTAGCCACTCTGGAGGCTAAGGTGGGAGGATGACTTGAGCCTGGGAGGTTGAGGCTGCAGTGAGCCACAGTCATGCCACTGCACTCCAGCCTAGGAGACAGAGTGAGACTCTGTCTTTAAAAAAAGAGATAGCATGGTCCTATGTTGCCTAACTTTAGCTTGGAGGTATTTCTGGAGGGGTCTTGATCATTAGGTTCATTAGTTCTCCTTGATCCTTGTAGAAGTCTCTCTTAACTCAGAGTGGGAGCTGGGCAGGTTTGAGGGCAAAGCTGCAAGTTGTGATGATTGTGACATGGGTTGGTTCCCCGTGGCTCAGAACTAGGTGTTTCCCTTCAGGTGCAGCATCCTGTTCACGGCAGTGGGCTGGCCGGCAGGGCACGCACATAGCCGTCTCTATTTAGTGAGTGTTAGATGAAAAAATAGCTGGTGGCACTTGCTTTGAGGAACATCACCATTTCCCAGACCAAATGTGGTTGTGGCCATTCCCTTCCACAGTCTCTTCTTGAAAACCCACTCCATGCAGGAAATGCAGTGACTGGGAGCAATCCTTGTACAGAGTGAGGATCAAGAGAAATTTTTTTTTTTTTTTTTTTGAGACCAAGTTTTGCTCTTGTTGCCCAGGCTGGAGTGCAGTGGTGCGATCTTGGCTCACTGCAACCTCCACCTCCCGGGTTCAAGCGATTTTCCTGCCTTAGCCTCCCGAGTGGCTGGGATTACAAGCATGCGCCACCGTGCCCGGCTAATTTTTTTGTATTTTTCTTAGAGACGGGGTTTCTCCATGTTGATCAGGCTGGTCTCGAACTTCTGACCTCAGGTGATCCACCTACCTCGGCCTCCCCAAGTGCTGGGATTACAGGCGTGAGCCACCGTGCCTGGCCCAAGAGAAATTTTTTTGTGATTGGTCTACGTAGGTTTGCCCTCCCTGGAGGTTTCACCGGATCCATTTCCCGGTGAAGGTTTTGCAGAAAATGTTTGTTCTAGCCCAGAGGGACATCTAGAGAAGACTGAAACCCCTAAACACAAGCCTTTTAAATTTATTTTTGTTTTATTTTATTTATTTATTTATTTTTTGAGACGGTGTCTCGCTCTGTCTCCCAGGCTGAGTCTCCCAGGCTGGAGTGCAGTGGCACGATCTCGGCTCACTATAACCTCCATCTCCTGGGTTCAGGCAATTCTCCTGCCTTAGCCTACCCAGTAGCTGGGATTACAGGTGCCTGCCACCACACCTGGCTAATTTTTTTTTTTTTTTGTATTTTTAGTAGAGATGGGGTTTCACCATGTTGGCCAGGCTGGTTTGAAACTCCTGACCTCAAACGATCCGCCTGCCTTGAGCTCCCAAAGTGCTGGGATTACAGGCATGAGCCACCGTGCCTGCCCACAAGCCTTTTTAAAAAAAATTTAATTTTAATTTTTGTGGGCACATAGTAGGTGTACATGTTATGGGGTACAACGCAAGCATTTTTAATAGTAGCTGTCACCTACTCAGTGTATTGCTCCCTTATTGGTTTATTCCATTTATTTATATTAAGTAGCCAAGAATATTAACATGAATTGAGTACAGTTTGTGGATATGTGAAAATTTTGTTTCCTAAAAAAAATGGCCAGGCATGGTGGCTGATGCCTGTAATCCCAGCACTTTGGGAGGCTGAGGTTGGTGGGTCACTTGAGCCCAAGAGTTCCAGACCAGCTTGGGCAACATTGTGAGACCCCGTCTCTACAAAAAAATAAAGAGATTAGCTGGTTGAAGTGGCATGCATTGTGCCTATGGTCCTAGCTACTGACGAGGCTGAGATGGGAGGATCACTTGAGCCGAGGAGGTTGAGGCTGTAGTGAGCTAAGATGGTACCACTGCACTTCAGCCTGGGAACAGAGTGAGACCTTGTTTCAAGAAAAGAAAAAAAAAAGAGAGAAAAGAAAAGAAATGTGGCATAGTATGTTGGTGTTTGTTCATTTTTATATGCTATTTCAGACAATAGAGTTTTCAAAGACAAAGTCTTTGCATTGAGGAATAGGTTAACTCACATAAACAGATAATTTACAAATATATATTTGTATAGATTCCCTTTAAAAATATTCCCAGGACTGCAATAACCAAATATATCATTTTGGTTGAATTTTTGTGTTTATTTGGTATGTTCACAAAACATTTTCTATTACTCATTTGTATTTGTATTGAAATTGACACCTTACATTTCTGCCATGTGAAGGGTTGTTTATTATCTTAAGGTGAAATGAAAGGTTGATTGTTCTAAGTTGCTTTTTTCATTTCCCTGCTTTTTAAAGATCTTCTCAAACAAATTTGTAAACTTTACCCCAACAGTTTTCTATGATTTTGGACAATATGATTGTGTGTATCACGGCTTATGGTTTCACCCAGCTGTGAGATGTGTGTGTTGGTAACTTTGATTCTACTTATCTACTGCATGAATCTGAGGGTCATGCCTGCCTTTCTGTGTAGTACCTTCATGAAAACGGTATTATACACCGTGACTTAAAGCCAGAGAATGTTTTACTGTCATCTCAAGAAGAGGACTGTCTTATAAAGGTAAGAAATTGGCATTCTGTATGTGGCTATTCCTGTAGATTCTTGTTCAGAAACTTTTAATTCCTCAAATAAAAAGTGGGAGTGTTAAAAGGTTGAGAATCTGACCTCTTACCAATTATTTTAGAGATCAGGTGACATTGCTCTTATCCAGATTTGAATGAGCATTTATTGAGCTCTGTTGTGTGCAAGTGACCTTTGTGCTGAGAGAGAGAGAGGAGGGGTCTAAATGGACTAGTGGGCTGGGCACGGTGGCTCATACCTGTAATCCCAGCACTTTGGGAGGCCGAGGCAGGCAGATCACCTGAGGTCAGGAGTTTGAGACCAGCCTGGCCAACATGGCAAAACCCCATCTCTACTAAAAATACAAAAATTTAGCTGGGCATGGTGGTGGGTACCTGTAATCCCAGCTACTTGGGAGGTTGAGGCAGGAGAATGGCGTGAACCTGGGAGGGTCAGGTGTTGGTGGCCTGTGGTCCTAGCCACTCTGGAGGCTAAGGTGGGAGGATGACTTGAGCCTGGGAGGTTGAGGCTGCAGTGAGCCACAGTCATGCCACTGCACTCC